TGCAAAAAGTCAAAGCACTGCTATGTTGGTTATGATATTAAAATGATTCAATCTTATACGGCATATGTGTATGAATATATACGAAATAAAATAAAAACATCTCGTTTGAAATACTGATGCCTTACAAGGTATTAAACGCACTTGAGGCAAAATTCAAGATGCTGACCTTGGTCACGCATCCAGGGCAAGGTTGCGTCGATCTGTCTTACTTTTTACTTTTCACAGGTATATCTAAATAAATTGAAAGAAAAAATAAAACAAAATCTGCGACTGGAGTTGCAAAAAGGACGCAAATGAATACCACACGCTCGTTACAAAACTCCCTGTTTCCTAATTAGGCCAGCACCGTGGGTTCTAAAGTTATGCCGTTTCTGCTAGGCGTTGTCAATACAACTGAATAGTGATCGACCTTTAAATAAATAAGAATTTTGTTGTTGTTTTGTTATATTTCTTCCGAACGATAGCAGACTGGGCGGTAAAATATGAATCACTGACTTGTGCAAAATAAATCACCGTTTATCACAATCTTGTCGAGGACGCGAGACGGCACACTGCACTGTCGACCGGCTAAAGGATTCGAAGAGATAATACTGAGGTCCGATCCGCGTGGAAAGGCAGCAACAGCAGCAGGGATCGCGACTTCTCCCGCGGACCCCTGCCAGTGAAAGTTATTCGCTGGCCAAGAGCTCAAAAACGAGAATAAATAACTGGTATAAATTACCAAAAAAATCGTAATATGAGCGATGGCATTCTCCTTTAATGTAGTAATTGTAGTCTTGGGGATGGAGTTTTTTCTTTCTTTAGTCACTCGGATTTTTTTTTAATATACATATATTTTTTTGCAACACCGTCTCGACTTCACGGAACCAAGAACAATGACTGGGTGGCACAGCCAGGATGAGGATCAAAAGAAAATCAGCGTGGGTTGTCCAGGTGCATCGGCTCCAAGAGGCTCTCGACCCCAAGGCCGATGCATTTTGCTACTGCCCACGTATCCTCTTTCGTGTTTAACAACACATATTTTGCCTTATATTGACTAACTTTTACAATCGCGAGACAACGACCTAAGCCAAACAAAACGTTTCTATTCGCGACAGCGTCATGCGTGTTTATTAAAACCCAATTAACGCCAATTTTTATTTTATTAATTAACTAGAACATCAAAATAATGCAACTATGGATATGGTCCGTCCGTCACACCAAGAATCGACGCGTATCAAATTCCTAGCAACTAAAAAATTGACCGTTCTATATATAAGTAACAATCTATACTTTTATCAATAGTACTTTTGTTGGGCAATTCCATGGAAACATGGCCTTTGTTTTACTGCACTTACAACGAAACACAGCATTACAAGGCAGCACATGTTGGGAAATTCTGTTTAGCATTTTATGGACGACATGCAAAGTAGTAGCAGCATAATTCACATAAAACTGTTCATTGCGAAATAAGACATGCATAATAATATTATCTGCGTTTATATATGTTTTCGCCTTCAAAGTGTCCACAGATTTAACTACTGGTGCATTGATACTTCGCATTCAAAAATATATTAACATAATTTATAATTCGATGAAAAGCAAAATTAAACCTAATCAATACAATAATAGTCCAATAACTAAGTTATCAATATCGAACAATTAAAGTGTTTATTGTATATCTTTTATAGTAGTATTACGTTATTTATACGTCAACTGCAACAGTATTTAATGCAATCATAAAAAAGCAATTTACGGTTAACTTTAAAGCATTATTATATAAAAATATTTTCAAATATATTTTACAAACTGCCCTTATTTTATACTGGATTAAAGTTTTATATATAATACAATCAATAAATAGAGTATAAGGTATGCAACCAAAATAACTTTCTATATACGAAAATTGTAAGAGCTAATTTGTATTAAAATGCAATTAAAATGTATTTAAATATAAGATCATGTTCTTAAGCGTAATAATAGTGTCAATTTAGATTTGAATATCAAATATATAGTCTAAGGTAGAAAGATGTCAGTAGTTAGACCTATGGCCTAAATTAGTGCCAATAAAAACATAAAAATTAGTAAATAATATACAGTTTAATTGAATATTATTATGATTTTATGTCAATGCTACAGAAGTGACTATGATCTTAAGATGCAAAAAACTCCCATACATACATTATCCCATTCAAATTAATAAATTGAAGATATAATTCATGGGATATTTCAATCAAATTTGTGACATACAATAATACTTTGTATATTAAACAACTTATTGATAATTATCTTCTATATACATATGCCTATTGATTTAATCTATTTTATAGAAAGATATAGATTCTTATGCAAAAATTGTTAGCAATTAAATTATACAACAGATTGTTATGTATCAACATATTATCAATCAAAATTGAAGAGTAAATTAAACAAAAACATGTATTGCACTAAGTAAATCTGAATAACAATAGAATACTCTCAGCAGAGACTGATACTGACCTCATGGACCTCCTATGGTGTGGACTATCAAAGCTTTCAATTTTCCTTCTCTTGACATCCCTGTCTTTATCATGTGAATGTGATCGAGATCGAGACCTGGACCTTGAGTGGTGCCTCCTGCGTGACCTGGGCATCTATAATAAAAAATATTATACGATTAGCTGTGGACAAAAGTAGACTGCAGAAAGGTATGAGCAATTTTAAAAGATAACCTTCAAATTGTCAATGGTCACACTTAAAAGCATGAAAATTAAAGGGAAAAATAATGAATTGGATCCCTTTAATTTGCACAGTTTTATATATTAGCTAACCAACAAAAATATGAAATAAAGAAAAATAGTGTTTTGGAAAAGAAATGAAGGCGGCCGTGCGAAAATGGGTAAACTCACACTGTATGGTTGGTTTCGCTTAGTTTCGCTCTGCGAAAATGTGTATGGCTATAAGGATTATTCTGCTACTGCGCGGCCATGTTTTTCCGTACGCATTCCGTTAGGCATTTTCAATTTGGCCGAAGTTTATATGTAAGTATGCACGGCTGGGTGCAATGGGAAAAGGCCAGAAACGAGGGCGCGAGAGTGGCGGAAAATGCGCGACGGCGACGCTCGGAAACTGCCGTCAGAGGATACAATGATAATGAAATGTCTGAGGGAAGATAATGATGGTGTTCACTACTTACGATTGATTCTTCTTTTAGATTGGCAAACTTAAACCAGATGAAATTCGCAATGTTCGAAACACAATTCCAAGTTCTTAGAGCGGAACCTTGAATGAAATCACTGTACAGTGGCAAGCCAAACATCGATCCAACCGTACAAACGGTTGGTCGGATCTACACTGTGATCCAGCGCAAAAACGTCTGTCCTCGATTGAGTCTGCTGCAGAATGATCACACGGACCTACACATCTTTTCTATCGCGATACCGGGAATCCCCTTCTGCTAAACTTCGCGATTGCACCTTTCTATTCTCACCCTGCTCTTTTTGCCCTCTTTTTTTTTTGGATCAATTTCGCTGAGAATTTCGACTCCGTCGTAGACGGTTTGTATCAGTTTGTATTTAGAATTTTTCGGCTGCTAGAAAATGGTGTTTTTTGTAAACAATGGACGCTGCCACGTCTACCAACATATTTACCAACTTCTTAAACAAAATCCCCGCATCTCCATTTTTTATATATAACCATATGCTCTAACGAAGCATGATTACTAAATCTAAATGTCTAAATGTCATTAGAGATCGAACAATTAAAATTGATCAATAAAAACACGAAAAACAACAATGTACGTTTGGTAGTCTATACTGTTCCTCGCAATAGTTCCTACAAATATTTAAGAAATATACAAGGGCTATTTATTTATACAAGAGTAAATATAAAACTTTTATTTGTGTTAATAATAACTACTCTTAATAAATATTGTCATATAAGGTTTCATGTTTAAATAATTTAATCTTAATTGCGTATTTATATTAGTAAAAATAAAATGAACGAGAAAACATACACAACTATCATTATGTTTTTTTTTTAACAACGAAAGACAAAATTGTTTATGTTTATAATGTTACTGTATTCTTCTATCATATAGTAGTAGCTCAATTCACTTTGCTGAAACACTTTACACAATGATTAATAATTTTCTTTACACACTTCACTGCTGATATTTACTTAAAAATATATTTAAAGAGATATTAACCACAGTTTTCCACCCAATATTAATTACGTTAACACTCTTAAAATGGTCTTTCGATATATCTTAATATCGTAAAATATAGTTATATAAAAAAACTTAATCAGTTTATATATTTATTTATTAAAAAAATAGTATATGTATTGAGAGAAGGTTAAATCGAACACAATCTTCCTTGAAAATTCGTATGTCGTATAATGAAAGAAAACTCTATATAATTTGAGCGTTCTCGGTATTTATTTACGTAAAAAACATGTAATGTTAACTAAATAACTGACTATAGACATAAGACTTTACAAAATACTTGCATCACAGAAACTGATATTTCATACATTGAAATACATATAAAGTTTTTCTGTCAGTCATTTGGTTTCTTTATTAAAAAGACAAAATAATTGTAGTATCTATTAAGTTATGTATAATATTTTATTTTGGGCGGAAATGTGATCAACCTTGCTTATATATTTTTCATATAAAGTATAAAGTCAATCCAAATGTACTATATAATTTATATTAGGTTAATTTAAATTTAAACATAAAACAGAACACAAACAAAAAGCATCACAAGATAAGAGTTTATATATTTTTGCGTGTATAGAAGTTGCATTTATCGATTTTTAAATGTATATGTATTTTTTTTTAAATATTTGTTTCGTATACATTTTATGTTGTTATAATTATAATAATATCAACAGGATTTCTTGCAACAACCATAAAATTGCATAAATAATTACAAAGTGTGAAATAAAGCAACATATGAATCATTGCAATGGACTATTGACCGTAGATCTTTCACCCCCAATTTAAACTTCAGAAAGTTGAAATGAAAGATGACTTTTGACATTTATTGGTAGATTTCAAACTCAAAATTTTCGATTGTCAAGGTACATACGATATTCTTATGTCTGTTGAAGTTGAAGTGAGAAGTTGAAGCGAGAGGTAGAGAAATTGTTCGTGTAGATTTGGAACGTACCGAAATCTGCCCGGTGCTCTTGGTCCATGTATTACGTAATTTTTAATCAATTTTTTGGCGCCGAGTGAGTAAGCGAATGAGCGAGAGTGAGTGTGTTGTATTTGTGTGTGTGCGTACGAGCGTGGGTGTGCAAGCTTCCGCGTATTTTCGTAGTATTGAAACAGTAGGGCTTCGAAAAAGGGAGTCCCGAAGTAGAGGAGGGAATAGTAGGTGGCAGTGTGCGGAATCAATACCACACGCGGGATAATATCAGTAAGGGCTTGCGCGACACACGCGAACGTCGCACACCGTGATAGCAGCGTTGTTTTGAGCGCGTTTCGCTCGCCGAGCATTCGTCCCTCTGAACGAGAACGTGCGTGTGAGTGTTGGTTGATGTGCTCGAAAGTGCGAGTGCTAAAGGGAAGCTGCATCATCACAACTGAAACTACAACCGTCCATCACACGCGCAAAACTTCAGCTCAAAAAATTAAGATGCACCTGCGGTGATGGTGTCTTGAGCAGATCAAAGCTAGAAGGAACGATCGAGACTTTATTTTCATCCAGCCACAAGAACAGCAACGAGATCAAGATATCATCGCGAAGGCGCGCGGAAGGACGTAAGGTTCTAAGATGCCGGATATCAAGAGCACGATGGAAGGACGGCTGGACAACGGGGAGAGCAAGCTGCATCACCGCAAGGATCTCGACCTGCTCCATTGGAAGGACATGCCAAAGCACCTCCAATTCAACCCTTACATCTTCACGGGCTATCGGCCGCTGCTCACCTTTTGGGGCTGCCTCAACAGCCTATTCTACCTCCATAACGAAACCATCAACATCCTCACCCATGGTAATTACTGAGCATCTCGCTATCGCTCTTCACCAACTAACTCACTAAATATTAAGTTTCCGATGGTGAATGTTGCGGCGACTCGTTCTGTGTAGTTCCGTAAGATCTGATCTAGCCCCCCTTTCGCGAAAAACCGACGCTCACCAAAGCTGCTCAAAGTGAATCGATAAATCGCGTCTATTTCAGGACCCAGCTTTTCGGAAAATAATAAATACTCCTGCATATCGCTCGACCTTTTATATTGCTATCGTTTCACTTGGAGGTTCTTTGGTCGAGTGACCTTACCACTCAGCGCAGAAAGCTTCGGTACATATTATTAGTTCGTTCAATAATTTGTCGAGCGAGTAAAGCTCGCGCCGTATGTTCATAAACCAACGGTACATATTTTCAAACACCCTCGGCGTTCGTAATAACAGGAGGTGGTAATAATTGTTGACGATTGTCTGTCATCAATTAGTGGGAGCGATGGAAGTAATAATCGACGCAGATTATAAATATTTAAGCCCTCTCTCCCACAACTCGACCGGCGATTTTGATTAGCGTGTTTTCTATTTGCATTACTTATGTACAGGCCTCACTAATCTCGCTGTTCGGTTTCTGTTGATCCTGACGATTAGTCCAAACAGAAGCTATCACGAGACCAGACTTATTACATAACATACTGCATATTAATCCCATTATCTTAAAAAAATAAGAACTTTTTTAACGAACCAACTAATTTTAAATAAAATAGTACTAAATGTTATAATTTTTCTATTTAAAAATCTACAGGCTCTTATAATAATAATTAAAATAAACAATAACCCAAATGAAGATAACGATTATATTATAGTCCAGATTGTTTAACTCAATCAAAAGAAAATACTTAAGCAATATATTGCTGCATCGATTTTTCTACATCATATAAATCGAAACTTAATTTATTTCCAAAGATAAATACAATAAGTACAATATTTACTTTATAGATAGAAGTAAAGCAACTAAAATCAGATATGTTTTGTAATTTTCGATAGGAAAAGGTAAAACTACTTTTTATCCCGCGAATAATACTAAATAACTATTTATTGAGTGTCCCACTTAACTGTTATAATTTTAGAAAATATTACAGAAGCCAAAACTAATAAACATAACTTATTGCATAGACTATATATTAATATAGTTAAGTGTATCTGTAAAATATTATTTAATATAATGTTTATTTTAATTTCCAAACAAAATTGATATTACATAAATCTACATATTGAATTATTTTTTTGCAAAAAAAAATAATTGAATTCAAAATAAAATTAATAGTAAGTTTAAAAAAAAATTAAATGACATTTTTATTAAATGGTTCATTTTATAATAATAATAATACTTGATGATGACAAAATTACATTTTCCTGTGTTGCGTATGCTATATAAGCGCTAACAAAGCGAAATGTATGGATGGAGCTGACTTTTGTACTTTCATCCTTCGTTAAACACTACATTAAATTAGCCTATATATTGCCTACAAAGTACCATTTGTCCTTAATTTATTGCATTTTCAAAGGGGTGGCATATATCGCATCGCGTGTGTCACGAATTTAAATCTCACAGGGAATGAAACTATAAAAAAAACCAAAGTGGAACAAAGAGAAACAAATTAAATTGAACATTTAATAATATGTTATTGCAACAAATTACCATAATACTCCATATGGCTACTGACCATAGGTCTTTCTGCCCGCACATTTTTTTAAATATTTTACCAAAATCGGCATAACAGAGTAAAAGTGAAATCACGATATTTGCACATTCGATGTGTTTTCGCTTTGATTATTTATAGTCTATGTTAATGAATTGACAAGCAAATAACAAACAACATTTTCTAATTGAATTGCAATCTATAATTGGCGAGAATTCCTATATTGTCAAGTCATTTCAAATAAATAATAATAATAATTGACGTAACGTTTTAATGCTTTCTGTAATTTATACGTAAATATTAATATATTAATAGATTATTGATGGAGTCCATTAGTTGAATGAAAGTTTTTTTTTTAATGATAATTAAAAATTAGGTCATAAAAGACTATGTAATTAAATAAGCGGGAACACAACAAAACTGCTAAAAGATTTTGATTGTCAATTCTATAAATGTTATTTGTAGTTTAGAAAAACCGGATGTAGTAGCATTGCTGGAAATACACGTGCAAATACGATGATGAAAAAAACGTAATGTAGAACGATGTGCTTCCGATTGGATCACGTGTCCGTTGTCCGATGTCTATTTTAATAAGGCGCACATTCAAAATAGAAAAAAAGAATAAATAGCCGACCGACTTCAGTTTGGCCCTCGCGAAAGTACACACTCTCATATTAAGGATGTATCGAGATTAAGCTATAATATTATACGCAGGTTACATATTTTAACCATAGCATTTTTTTTAAATTTGTACAATACATTTTATATAATAAACATGTTATTTAAACAACAAAATTCAAACATATTATAAATGCATAAAATTCAACAAATTAAGCTTGAAATAAAATAATTTAATATTAACAACATTTTCAATACGTGTTTATCAAAATGCAAATTACGTTGTATAAAAAGATATAATTAAAAATAATGTTATTTAAAACTATTCGCAATGTTACAAGTTTAAAAATAATATCGCGAATCACATGCCAATGCAAACGGATCCATTATTGTCTTAAGTATAATTGATAATCAACTAAACAAATTGAGATGGTATCGTAAACATGGTCAGCAAACTAAATCCAGGAACCATTCTTTAGCAGAAATAAATGTGCGTTTACATAAACCAAAAGCTTATTTAATCATGGACAAAACTAGCGTATGCTATTTATAGGTAATTGAGAATAGATTGAGATTGATCAATGTATGCGTGGAGGGTCTTAACTCTTTAGTACCAAGCTAAATAGATGGTCAGTCCAGCGTACGAAAACATAGAGATCGTGGATGTTATGTTACGCTCAGGTGAAACTTTCCGGCTAAAATATGGATTATACACTGACGGCACGTGGGATAAATAGACATCTAAATCATTCAGTCTTGACGATGAAAACGGCCGTTGTTGGCATTAACATTAATTAAGAAGTTAAAGCATATCCATGCCCGTGCTTAATTTTGAATTACCATTGCCATTCGTACTATTAGAATCAATCAATTGTTAAAATATTTTCAAATCCTTATTTATTTAAGAATGTTATTTTAAACTAATCGTTCTTCAATTTCAGATTTTTTTTTAAATATAATAAACCGCTCTATTGTTTACTTGAATTAAATAATTTCAATTTAGTTACTACAAAATAATTAATAAAATATTTCCATTTTACCTATTTCTTTTCTGAATAAATGTTAAAAGTATCAACGTTAGATGCATGTTGAGGCAGTGGTAGACAGCATCATTGACGCAAGCACCGCAAGGGTCCGCATTGCGGAAGAATCGCTTTGAAATGCACAGTTGATCGCTGGAAACAACTCCATATGAATTATCGTTCTTTATATGAAAATATATTAAGAAAATTTCTTAAAAATATTTTTAAACTTTAAATAACAATAAAAGATATTTTACAATATTATAAATATTGATCATAAAGAGTGGAAGTAGTGAGTATTTTTAAATAGAGAGTTATAAAACACATTCCGTAATTATTATAAAAAATAATTAATAATTTTATAACATAAATAATAGACAAAAATGGCTTTAAAGTAGAAATACTAATAAATGCAAAATTAATACAAATATTTTCCATCTTATGGAAACATCAACAAGGTATAACATTATATTGAAATAATTTCATCGAAGTTTTATGAATTAAATTATTGTTATTATTATAAAATCATCAAGTAATAATTGGAAAATTGTTAACACTTTGATTTATTATTGTTATTTCTATTTTTATTACAGAAATATTTGTTGTTTATGGATAGTTATTTGTTATTTAGAGAATGCTGTTTTTATTGATTGATTGATGACTGAGTCTGCAGTTACTTTGGTCCATGGAAAACTATATGTTCGGCACTTTCTGGGTCTTTCAATCTTGTATCCAAATCAATCTAAAAAAGATTCGTGCTACTAAACTTTTTAGCAATCTGCCTCTCCGAACAGAGGAAATCCATAATCTTTGTATTTCTTAACAAACTTATTGCCTCGTTTTCGTTCAAAGTATTCGAATTATGGATACATCGATTATTTGCACGGGACGTAATTGCTTTCGGTTTGTCCCAGTAATCTCATCAATTAATCTCGTTCAATATTTGTATCTAACTTTATTTTCTTGTTCTTGTTTCTTTGCAGCCATCCCGATTGTATATATTTTAGCGACGGTTCCGCCTCTGATGCCATGGACTCAACTCTGGTATCTATCCTGGTGTCATGTCCTCGGCATCGTTAGCCCGTGGGTGGGCAGCTTCCTGTACCATCTGTTCATGAACATTGAGCGGGGCGAGAAAATTTATTACCGATTGCTGCAGCTGGACATGCTGGGCATTTGGATCAATCAGAGCTTTGGTAAGAATAGCTCCGTGTCTCTTTCATATGTCGTAGCCGGATCATCAGGCTCTGCTTGTCTTCTAGGTGCCATCCCCATGGTTACAGCGACCACTTATTGCCTTCCTGGTGTTATTAAATGGATCTTCTTGATCGCGTATTGTCTGTTGAGCGTCTGGGGATTCTATAAGGTATACACAATCATTTCCAGACAATCCAAATCATCGCTAACAAATTACTTTCAATTTTCCGCAGGCAATGACGGCTTGGTCGCCGTGGGAACGAAGACTGTGCTTCCTCTTGCCCTTTACCGTAAGGGTGATCCTTTGTTTAATTCGATATTTCAGTATAGGAGGTGGAGATCCCGGTGCCTTCACGCATGTTATATTGCAAGTAAGAAAAATAATTTATTAAGAATGAAAACACAATTAGAATAGAATACATAAAATGATAATATTTCCGTTCACTTGTTGGTCATCCGTAATTGATAGCAGTTATTAATAATTCCAGGTAATTGCTACTTTATGGACTCAGTCTGCGTGTAGCTTTGTCATTTTCTTTTACATTTGTAGTCGACGATTATCATCGCGATATTATTTACTCAACTACTGCTTTATTTAGTTCTTCCTTCGATTTTTGTTACGCAGTAAAAACAAGCGTCCGGTAGAAAACGCTCAATTCTCTGTTTGTTTACATGCTAGTAATAATAAGAGCAAACATTGACACGAGATCAATCTTCATTATTTCTCCCGAATCGATTGAACTTCCTTCTAAAAAATCGAATTATAATCAAATATATTTATACATTTCTTTATGTATTTAGGGCAGATACTCAAACTTTGAATCCTTTTATCTATACAACTTGAAGCAAAAAAATTATATAAATAGTACAGTAAATTTCCAAATATTGCATTTGTAATCATTGATAACCAGATAATTTGGCACAATTCTCTATTTTAATACTTGATTTACCAATTTTTTTTTAATCAAACGTAATGTAAAACGATAAGATTTACTAAATTGAATTTCAGAATAACGTATAAGATTTATATGGTTTCCGACTTATACAATATGTAAGGTATCTTTTTTTCATATTAAATTTGCCTATCCGCAGATCACATGTTAGACAATACTGCTCTAAAACATCTTGACGCAGATTTTTTAAACATATTATTGCTTTTAATATATATATTGCAATGTAAAATGTATATGTATATAAAATAATTAAATAATATTATTATGAATTTCTGCAATCTTTTTGCATACTTTTTATGGAATATTCTATATAATAACTAATTAAAGTATCAAATAATAAAACTATACTATAATTTAACTATCGTAGATCGGTATTTTGTAAAAAAAGGTTGTAATTTTATGGAATAAGAAGTTTATTTATTTAGTTTTTAAATAGTATAATCTTTAAATATGATATAACACGGATTTATCTATTGCATTCAAAGTGAATTTGAGAGTTTAAACAATGTAAATTATCAGTACACACAAAACCTTTAACACAGCTTTCGATATTAAATGAATATTCTTTGTTTACAATTTGATGACTTTAGACACAAACAATCAATGTTAATGAATTGTTAATTATTCATTTTAAATTGTATATATTGGATATACCACAGAAATATCATTTTAAAATGTCATTAAAATTTAATTGGTGCGTGAAGAAATAGGTGCGTGAGCATTAAAACAGTTGTTTTTCTTAGCAGATTCATTTAACGTTGAGTCTTCCAATGAACAAAATTACATACAACAGTATATTCTGAAAATATTCTGTGTTATTGGTTTATATAATATTAAAGACTTTTTTTTGTAATATGTTACTCTTCTTGTAGAGCAATTTGTAGTTTTGTTTGATCTTCTGTTTCAGGATTTGGTGTCTGTGATAGGAGCTGCAATTGGTGCGATGCATATACCGGAGAAATGGTTCCCGGGAACAGTAGATATGTACCTGAATTCGCATAACATCATGCACGTCCTGGTGGTTGCGGCAGTGTACTCAATGCACGTGGCGACGATGAGGGATCTGCAGTGGATGACCCGTGTCAACTGCAGCGCCGCCCTCTGACCTCTCCTACGAAGACAGCATTAGACTCCCTCCACGCAAACAAATCGCATGGTCGAAGAAAAGAAGTTTAAATTATTTTCAAAACACAACACACGACGACTCCGATGACGATTATAGTCGTGATCGTGAGCAAAATAGAAACAAACTAAATCTAGTCAAATAATTTTACGAGACTTGGTTCTTTTATATTTTACCAGCAAAATGAAATTCGTGGGATTCAATTTGGTCGGCGTGCATTTTATTCCTTATTTTCACTAGTTTATGTACCGAACAATAAAGTTCTACCGAGTAGGATATTCCAAACGAAGTGCGAGTTATTGTAGATAAACGTTTTACTCTTTTACTATCGGAGTTCTATACTTTCCTATTTTGGAAACAATTAGTTGTAATTGACTGAAAAATAAAGAAAACAATTAGAGTAATACAGCATATTACTCTACCTAGTGCTTTATTGCAATTTAGAATGAATACAAATACATCAGTAACTTCAAAACGTGACTTGAATTTGATGATATTTGAAGAAGAAAAAAAAACGATTTTTTTCCTTTTGTGTGTGAAAATATTTCAAAACCAGTCAATTAAATCCTAGCTCTTGAAACTTTTCTGTCGTCTCGGCTAGCCGTTCATACTTCTTCTATTTCTTCCAAATTAAACCCTTGTGCACAACAAACGAATCAAAGATTTTTCCAATGCGTTTCCTCCTTTTATTTCACTGTGATACTGATTTATTCCAGGTAGCGTGTAATCTTTGGTTTCATCCTTAGATGTAGTGTGTTTATTTTAATTTTAGGATTAATACAAAAATACGAGAATATACAGAAGCAATAAACAAATTAATTAAGGAAACTCTTTGAACGTATATTTTAATGAACAAATAGGTACCTGGTTCTAAATGTTTCGTACCTCTTTAAACTCTCTTGTAAGTGTTTTAAAACTGTGATCTTGAACAATATATTAATCTTGCTTTTAAAAACAGTGCAACACAATTATCTGTCCAAATGTTTACGTCTTATTTCATTTCCAAATCCTTTATTGTTTTAATCAAAATGTTTTGATATTCAAATCCTAAAATAACTTATTAATATTATAAAATATATTTCTTTACTAATTTATCAGTTTAATCTTTACCACGTTAATTTATATTTTACCATATAAAATGAATGACTTAACATACATATCTTAACAATATATAAACGATACTAAAAATGTTCATATATGTTACAGAACTGCAAACATTCGCAATTTTAATATTATTTGCTAAATTTGTCTAGTCCAGACAAAGATAACAAAAATCTTTGCAAATCGCTAACAACAAATTCACTTACATATGCATGTACTTTTTTTTTGTACTAACATGTCTTTATGTCTATTTCTACTGCGCCTATAAACATCATTTAGCTTATGCCTCTGCACTAATTCGAAAGCCACTGTTTGGTTTTGTTATGTAGTTTCCGTTTGCACAAACGTACATTTTGCCTCGGACCAAACATTTGCTGATATTTTCTATACTTGTATTTGAAAATCACGCAACATAAGATAGTACTGAATGAAAGTAGAAATGAGATTTGCTAAAGAAGTGAATTCCTTCAATATTTGCACAATAAACATCTAAAAAAAAACGTTATAATCAATGTTAATACAAGCATTACAGATTCATTATATTTAACAACGGAAGTAAATATTAGAAACAATGTTTTAATATTTTTTCATCTATTTATTATTTTCTTTGAATATATTCCACAATTATAACACCAACTATTTAAATGTAACACTTAATAAAATAATACAATTTAAATGTAAAACTGTACTGTACTTTTAGTACAAAGTATAAAAAATCATATAATCAAAAGTAACTAAAAAAAAGTAATAACAGCTATATTATATCATAGATTATATATTTTCTTAGTAACACTAAATTTATATATATATATATAGATTTTTTTCAACAACAGTAAATTCTAAAAATATTAAACAACTCATTTTCAAAAATCGTCACTTTTATAATTGATAAATTAAGTAAAATTTAAATGGTATCAAAAAATATATGTGTATTAGAATATATTAACAAAGAGAAACCAATGCAAATAAATTATTTTAAAAGTGATAAGAAACACCTGTTTATCTCTATTTATCTTAATATCAATAAAACAATTGAAATAATTCGTTTACATTTGAGGATTGACTTAAGTTTGGGCAAGAACTGATTGTAGATTTTATCAGGAGCAACGGTCGAGGGTAAGTAGTTCTTAATAACTAGATACATACACTGAAGCAGAAGCGAGGAGTTTCAAAAACAGTTCACCGATGAGCAAAAAATAATTGTAAATGAAATCAAACCGCAGTTCTGATTTATATTGCGGAATTCACGATTATCAATGGTAGGTTCAATAGGACCGATTTCCGAATTTACTTAATTTTCTCTGTGTAGTCTTTGACAATTAACAACAATCTTATCGGAATATCAATGCGTAGGCCATGAATATCACTATTGAGAAATAAAAATCAATAGAAAGTTAACGAAAGACTAGACTTGTGCAATGCGCAATATTTAAATGCATCAACAATGTTATGGAGCTTACATACACCACAGTTGCACAGCAGTAATCAATAGCAGGCTAAATACACAGCGAATTAATACAATTGCACATTTATAATCACAACCATGAACTGTCCAAACGATAGTTGATTCTCGGGGAACATCTATTATGAAATAAAAATATTTACTGCAGAGGACTATAAGATTCCTGCGTATAGCTCTTGACGCGCGAGAACCATAGAGGTGGGAACCGATTGTTGACAAGTTCGAATGACGACTTGCTTTCAGTGCCGTTGCGATTCTTGGTGATAATAGCGTAGTGCGTCCAAATTAGCTGAATGTGTTTCTTCGTGTTGTAACTCTGAATCTGTAACTCCTAATACATATAAAGAATATAAATAAGACAACTGTAAAGCCATTAGACAATATACGAAATATACCAAATGAAACGTCTTATCGCCGCCCTCGAACATTACATCGTTACGCCTGTTGCGGCCTCGCTTGAAGGAACTTTGCACAGTTACCTCCTGGTGTTGCACAACGATGGTCACTTTATCATCCTTCAGGCGGTAATGACCTTTCAGAATCGTTGGCAATTTCGAAATGCGTGTCTTAAGATGTGTCACACATTGAGCCGGCTCATCGGGAGTAGTTAGCATAAGTACTAAGCCGTCGGGAAAAAATCTAAAAATATAATGTGAGAAATCAACGATCACCAAATATTTTATAAATTTACCTCAGGTATCTGTAGTAGGCCACTAGATGCCAAGGTCTGTAAAACTGGTCTTGGAAACTGTTTTCACCGTGCCTCAAGTAAGTTGTTTTGCTAATATAGCATCCGTTGAAGTGTAGGCGCGCTCGCTTGACGTACATTTCTCTCCAGGAAGAGTAGATATTCATTGGGTTTCCGCAGTTTATACCCCAGGCCCTGCAACCTAGGCTTTAGACACAGATCAAAACTGACGGATTGCTGTACCTTGAGCAGGCAAGTTTCCAAATCTCTTCATCTCTAGCACACAGGTAAAATCCTCTAGACACCATGGATACCATCTCCAATGAACGCATATCCAGATCAGCAGAAACAACCCACTTCAGTATATATAGCAATATCTCCATGGGAAGAGAGCATATGTGTGTAGACTGCAAAAACATAATTTGCTAAGAAACTATTCCAACAAAAATAAATGATTACTTATATAAATCAAAAGTTTACAAAACTGCATAAAAAATATTTTTTTTATCTGTTTGTCTTTGCCTATGGGCACTTTTCTATGTTACTGCAATAAATATATAATTAAAAGAAATATTATTATAACATAAAAACTTAGTTTATGTCAATTAAATAAAGTTTAAATAATAATTTACTTACTCTTTGTTCATAATTGGGTGAACACAGTACTTGTGATTTGAACACTTTCCTTTGTATCCAGTTAATTAGAGCTCCATCAGGAATTTGTCTCTCCTCTACTTCATTATCATTCTCATCATCAGTTTGAATCTCCTGGATTTCGTCAAATTTAATATCTTCAGCAACTTCTTCTAAGAATTAAAAAATGTCAATAACCATCAAATTCATAAATTTCATTTTAGACTCACCTTCATTAGGTCTAATAGAAGGTATATTTATATCATCTATTCTAAATTCAATGTCAGGTACCAGTTGTACAGCTCGTTTGTAGCACTGTATTGCTTCATACAATTGTCCAGACCGTTCCAGCTCAGCCCCTTGCATATAAGCAATCCTTGCCTGCTGCTCTTCAGTGACATCTTCTTCCTTACATTGTTTTGCAGACTCAAATCTGGCCTCATCCTGGCAACCAATCCTAAGTTCTTTTTGCCATTTCTCCCGGAAACTGGCCAATGCATTTTCAACATCTGAAGTCTTAACAGATCAAAAAATTCATATAATAGAATGAATGAGGGCATTGATAATTATAGTTATTACATTATTTGGTGAAGGTTCATCCTGCTCCTCATCATCAGAAATATTATCCCCCGAATTTTGCCTGGCACTGCTGCCTGGGATGTTGCTCTGCAATAACATGTTATACAATCTGTTAGATAATTTTATATTAATGCTTACCATTTTGAAGATGCGAATTCAGAAACACTGGTATATTAGTTCACGGTCAGAGAAGCGGATTACGAAAATTTCGAAGCCAGAATACGTGCAAACTGGCAAGAAGCTTTCAACATCCATGTTTCAATCTGGCGTTTTAAAATTTTAACCAACAAACTCGAGGTCACGGTCTGACAGACCACCAAAACATCACTACCTCTTTCTCCAACCTATATAAATTTACTATTCTTCATTCCTCTTTCACGAAGCTGTCTACAAATACTGACAGATATCATATGGAGTTGGCTGACGCTGACGTACAAAGTTATATAGATTGTGGTATAGACTGTGTAAAGTTAAATTCTTCTTGAATTAAGGGTCAAATAATGGCTTATATTGTGGAACCTGATGTAGTTAGATATGCATGCATGTGTGGTTTATTAAAACCCATATCCAGGCTATATTTCTGCAGACACTGCTTGCACCTGAGATGTGGTTTTTGTGTTTGTCATGAGGTAATACTAATTAATAGAAGTACTGTTGATTATAATTTGCTTTTAAATTGCTCAGGTGGATTCACTTTTTTGTGGAAAATGTTTGGAGAATTTGCCTTCAACCGAAGCGAAACTGAAAAAAAACAAGTGTAGCAATTGCTTGGAGTGTCCCAGTTGCCACCAACAACTTTCAAGTAAGGCAGCAACAGTCGCACCTAAAAATCCTGAAGACCCCAAAGCTACTCCTAAAAAGGTCATCTACTTATGCTGTTTAAACTGTAGATGGACAACTAGAGATGTTGGCATTCCCGATCAGGAAGTTGGTATGTTGAAATAACAAACTATAATATAAATCTACATGATCTATGTCCTCAGGGAAAAGTGGTTGGCCTGAGCATGAGAATGTTCATACAAATAGGTTAAATGCCATCATGAATCATTACAAGAAGCTAGTACTGAAGGAGAAGCAGCAGCAAATGGATAAAGATAAGAAGCAGAGAAAGTACACCACTAGCTTAGCTGAAAGAACTGGAGTTACAGCGTCTATTCTTAGAAAGAGGCTTGGCATGACAGAACTGAAAAATCCACTTTTAGAAGCGGACGACCTTAAACCGGCAGTAGCCAGTAAGGAAATTGTTGATTCAATTGAACATTTACTGACTACCCCAATTAAACTTAATGACATTACCACCATTGATCAACGTTTGAAGTTGCCCGATTGGCAACCAACTGCTGTAGATAAATTGTATCCAGTACATAAGCAACTATCAGTGAAGCGTTCTTTGCGTTGCAGATCATGCGAGCACAACGTAAGCAAACCGGAATACAGCCCGAACTCCATCAAGTTTAAGATTCAACTTTTCGCTTAGTAAGATAACAATATAAATAATCCATTCTTGTAAAACACTGATATCTTTTTAGCTATCACATTCCAGAAATTAGGATTGTAACTGTCGAACCTTTGCGCATCGGCAAGCAATGCGAGCTTCTCATAAAATTAATTAATCCTACTCAGCATCAAACTACTATTACCATTCTTCCCTTGGAGCATTTAGATGCTATTCAGCAAGAAGATACAAAGGTTATTGAAGATCCTCCTGAGGTTTGTTTTTTTTATTTAAGTAATTTAATAACATTATTATAATACTTAAATTTGTAGACGAAGGAGCCGCTTTCCTTTCAATTACTTCAAAGCTCTTTGACCAGTCATCCAAGGCAAATTAATGCCAAAGTAGGTACCGACGTGTCTATACCAACTAGTTCCATTATTTTACCAGCCAGAGATGATGCTGCGGAATACGATGATACCGGAGAGACTCAGAATTTTCAAGACGATCCCAAGTATGATTTCATAAAAAATATGATTGTTTTATTAAAACTAACGTGATTTCAGATTGGTAGTATTCAGGAAATCGAACAAGGCAGTGATTAAATTGCTTGTTGCTCCGATGGAAAACTTGGAATTGGGCGAAGAGGTGATTGCTGGTTTTACTATGCAGCATGTTTACACTAGCACTATTGCAACAACCACCGAGAACAAAGAGCCACAGAAGTTCGACCATAAAATGAAGATTTATTTAACCTTAGGAACACTGGTTGGTTCACAATAAGATGCTTTTTCTAATGCAACTTTATTTAATTTATGCACATTAAATAACCCGCTTGTTTTCTAATAATTTATACAATTATGCTAAAAGTATTATCATAGCAAATGATAAATATGTTATTAATTTCTTGTTAAAACTAAAATATATTAATAATAAAGGAACATAATCTTTTAAATATAATGAATATTTTCTCTAATACTACTTGTATATATAGTTTCTGGGTGTATATCACAAGCCCGACATAACAATAAATTATTATCAATTTATTTGATTTTGTTAAATTATTCATAATAAACCTTAACATTATAAAATAATCTCAAATACAATTAGATTATTAATCGTTATTATTTATTATTAATAACAATTTAAGTCACTACTCTCCAGCATAATTTAAAAATGTTATTGTAGACATTTTCGATAGTCGGGATTATGGTTGTCGGTATTTTAACAGTCAGGATTTCGATTGACTCTTGGAGTAGATTCAATAAAACGATTTGTTACAGCAATTTTCTACAAATTCATTAAAGGCTTATACAAAAACGTTTTCGTAACCTTAATGAAACACCAATTCAAGAATTTGTTATTGATATTTAAACGCTAATAGTAATTGTTTCGTTATAAATTTTATTCATGCAATGTTATTTATCTTAATCAAACATCCAGAAATGACTTCACCAAATTTAAGATTTTACTTACATGTTTGTTTCCATTTAAAAAAAGGCAAGGTAATGAAAGGAAATATTTTGTAGGATAAAATAAGAACTAATAATTAATGAAAAAGAATGTTGTTACTTTTGGTTCAAATCAAGAGTTACTATATTGAAAATTTATTTAAATAATAAACATGTTTGATGGTAGTAAAACAAGATGCAAACCAAAAATATATTTTGTATATTGAGTCCGTTTACAAACGACGACCACGTCTGCCACCCTTCCTGCGAGTTGAGTCAGATGGAATTGGAGTAACATCCTCAATGCGGCCAATTTTCATGTTAGATCTGGCCAAAGCCCTGAGGGCGCTCTGTGCTCCAGGTCCTGGAGTTTTAGTCTTGTTGCCACCAGTGGCACGCAACTTGATGTGCAAAGCAGTGATGCCCAAAGACCTGCACTTCTCAGCAACATCCTACAAAGAGTTACGAATGAATAATAATGTTATGTTTACATTTTGTGTTTGGTACTTACTTGAGCAGCCAACATAGCGGCGTACGGGGAAGCTTCGTCCCTGTCGGCTTTGACTTTCATGCCTCCGGTAACTCTGGAGATGGTTTCACGGCCAGACAAGTCTGTCACATGGACGAAAGTGTCGTTGAAGCTGGCGAAAATGTGGGCAACGCCGAAGACAACTTCGCCTTCGCGTACCTGAGGACCAAGGGATACTTGGACTTCCTCCTTTTGAACTTTACCTTTCCTTGGGGCCATTGTTACCTACAACAAAACAATGTCAATGGATGTCAACAAGCATAACCAAAAAATTTTTTGGCGACCACCAAAATCCGCGAACATCTACACAATTGTACATTTCAGATGCACATAATTTATATGAAAACAACGTAAATTATTTGTCGATTGGAAAAACTACAGTATTTTCTCTACTACTTACTCAGAAATATGTTTAATCTTATAAAAATAAATGGAAAGAAGACCACTTACGTACTGCTACTCCAGCTAGGAAATATAGAAAGGACGCATCAGTAGTAACCGCTACCAACGTAACTTCCGTTAACACAATATTCCCCTAACTATAAACGAAACAAAACATTTATGTTTTTTTCTTTTAAAAACATTCTTAATTTAATAATAATTAAACTAAAGTCTTTTATAATTTCAATATATTTATAACATTATTAATATAATGAATATTTTACAAATTATACATATTAAGCAAAATAATTAGCAAAAAAAAGAAAAACCCTAAAAAAATGAATATGAATGTTATATAAAGAAAATATTTAATTAAACATTAAAGTATACGCGACAGAAATATCGAGATGGATAGTCCTTTGGCCAAATTATATTTAATTATATCGAATTGTTTTATTTTTCTTTCATAGGGTGCACTATTTATGTGTTTATCTACATTCAATTTTTCTTCTTTTATTCTTCCACTTTTTGTATTTATATTTAACAATTTGAATTTATGTTCATATCATTATTCATTTATTAATAATAGTATATTTTCCAAATATATAAATATCATAAATTATAAAAAAAACAATAATTTTATATAATTAACTAAATATATTGTGGCTATGGTCGCCTGTATCACGAAAATCTGATACGAAAGGTCGTTGGTTCAATTCCGAAAAATCAACAAAAATGTTGTGGTGGCTGTTAAACTCGAAAGGGGTAGAAATAGTGCCGGAGAGAAAAAAAAAACTAAATATACAAAATACTTATGTCAAAAGGACCATAGACCTGTAAACATATATATTTAAATACTTATTTATTTTTAAATAAAAGTTATTTATATTAATTGTTTTTAATATTTCTGCCACCTGTTCCGTGATTATCGACCCCCATAAATTTTATAAAGAATGTTTCTTCTTCTGCACAATTTTACCATTCACTGCTTTATTACTTGTAGATTTAACTGATCTAGCCTCTGTTGCTGGGATTAGGGAACAATATTTAAATGATAGCAATTCATTTTTTTGTACCAATTGTGCTGCAAGTTTGGTTGTCTACCATATGCATTAGGATTTTTTTAACATTTTTTTGATAAATACAATATATAAGAGCATGATACAAATATAATTTATATGTGTATCGTAATATAAATGAGATAATGTCGGCAGAAATAGAACTCTAAGATTCCTAATAAATAATAATAAATTAATCCTTATTCTGAAATTAAATTTTCAGTTAGAATATATTAAAAGCAACCATACACTTATATATTGAAATTTTATTTGTATTGATATTTTATAAATACGTTATTAATCATTTTGTCTCCAGATAAAATTATATCTCTACTCATCTTTGCAAGATTTTCTCCACATAGATGACGACTTACTTTACTTTTTATGTTCTTTAGTAGTTGAGTAAAAAAAGGAATGGTGCTTAGATTTGCGGAAAACTGATTTTAGAAGAAACCGTCTTATGAGGTGGTGAACAGTAATAACGAGACACAGATGAGAAAAACCAACCAGCTATTGCTTGCCAAATTGGCAAATAAATTAACTTGAATAAATAACATACATGTTTGTTGATCGCAGATGTCTCCGAGTAATTGAGAACAGTGACATCTGTCGAAGGTTTAGTTGGGAGACTACTTAGCAGGGACCAAAGACGCTGTGTGGTGGCATGCGCTCGCAAATTTGAAAAACCCAAACATAACCTAAATATTCACTAAATATTCCTAAGTATTCACCTTCTATTGCAGTCTATAATGTGAGCTTCGTTGCGTATCGCTGTGGCATCCACATTCTCGACATTTATTAAATTTAAAGGTGATATTTTACATATATAATTTACTTTTATATTATCTAATATTACTATTTATTGCAAATTATACAATTACATAAATCATTACAGGCTTCTCTGTACATTTAGCCAACTAAATGTTCATTTATATTATTACAAGTTCGGTACCACATATATTAGTTAAAAATTTACTACTAACTAAATCTAAAAATAATGTATTGAAATAAATAAAAATTAGTAATATATTCTTACCCTTACNNAAGTGGGTATCGAACCTACTCAATCCAGCATGTAAAAGTACCAACAAAGTCAGGTATGAAAAAGGATATTTTGGGGGGTAATGGGGTATTGCAGTATTTTCAGTACAATGTCTGTATTTTTGGATATACATCCCAGAACTGGACAAGTGTATCTTATTTCTGAATAGTTATATTTGTTTACTATTGTGCAATACATTTTAAATATACACTTACTGGAGTTTACTTGTAGTTCAGTTTATTTAAATTCTAAATAGCCTAAAACAAATTAGTTAAATTTATCCCACCTTATAGACCTCACAAATGTTCATTCAATCAGACTTGAAAGCTAAAATTAATTAATTAAATATATCCAATGGAACTTACAAAACAACCTTGGGAATGAAGAGCTAAAAGAAAATCTAATTCGCCATTTTATCGCCATCCTACTAATTTAACAATACTCACTAATTAATAGACGATCACTAGTAATACAAGTCTTAAGAAAGACTAAAATGTTTAATAATAATAATTAAACTTATTTGGATCAGAACAAACTCGGTTAAAAGTAGTCAAGCAGTCGTGAATACAAATGTAAATAGTGCGAAAACGTAAATATAGGCAAAATGTATGCGAAAGTTTTTTTATTATTTTAAATTTCAAATTATTTGGCGCTATTATATTTGCTGGTACTTGTGGCGCCGCGTTATGTGCTTTCCATGTACTAAGAAACGCCACCGCAGTGGCTATACAACAGATTTCTCATATGACTTGGTCCCCCTGGTACTTAGGTTAGTGTACAAAAGGTGGTGTCATCTGTTGGCCTTGAGCAGGTATTGAAGCTCATTGTGTGAACCAGTAGGGGCCAGTGGACTGCGAGCCGCTCGCCATATTTGTTGTTGTTTGATGGGGGAGGTCGTGAAGACACGGGTGGATTAAGTGCTTGAGAGATTAGTTTGATGCGAACAGTTTTTTTGGGACCGCGAGTGTGTGTGAATGTTCGAAGGCGAGTGGACAGCAGAGCCATAGGACCACCACCTGGACGGAGACGATGTGTAGGTTTTATTTCATTCTTCAAGAACCTCCAATTGGAGAGAGGGGGGCGGTCTATTCACTTTATATATACACTTCACCTACCATTTATTTACTTATTTCGGAACAGCCAGCACCAACCCACCTCAGGGGTAGCAAACCACCGATAGTCACTGCCAAAAATACCTTACTTCAAAAAGCATTTTTTGTTTAAAATCATTTCTTTTTGTTGATGGATCTTTCACACAAGTCATTCTGTGACTTCGTCGAGGATACCTTTTCACACGCAAAGAGAAGACCTGTTCTCTCAGTATTTATTTTCGTCTGCTTTCATATTTTCCTAGATTTATGGGCGGTCAGCTGTTAGTGGTTCACCTATTCTTTTTTTGTGTGTTTTGATTATTGTTTATTCGCCATCTCATATTTTTTGTTTTCGTTTTTTTTTCCTTTTTTCTTATAGATCTTGTAGTGTGCAGAATTGAAGCTTGAGAGTTCGAAAGAGCGAGCGAAAGGGAAAAAATATATAAAGTGAGACACAGCCTTGTTTTCATTTAAATTGTTATTTTTTTGGTTGTTATAAAAACGGAAATCACCTGCATTTTCGTTTCCTTCGTTGCGTGAAGGAAAGTGTTTTGGTGTCGTTTTCACTCTCTTTATTTTATTCTTGTTGCTGTTTTGGTGAGATTTAAAGAAAAGAAAAGAAAGAGAAGGTGGTGCGAGTGAGTGAGGCTGATTTCGCTGTGGGGGGTGGTGAGTCAAAAGGCGGTGAGTTTACCGGGTTCGGCTTCTTTGTTTGAAAGTGGCGGGCGTCGGGGCCGGGGGCGGCGGCGGGGATGACGAGGCCGAGATGCTCGAGTGGGAAATCGACAACGATAGGTTCAGCTTCGAGGATTCGGACCGCTTCGAGGAAGATTCCCTGTGCAGCTGGAGTTCTGAACCGGAGAGCGTTTGCAATAATTGGAGGGGGTGGAAGAAGCCCGTCAACGGTGGATCCTACAGCTTCGGGGCCAACAAGAAACAAGCCGAAGGTGAGTTGTTAACATTTTCATCATCTGCACCTGCATCCCTTTACGAGAAAACCTTGAATGTTCCTATGTGCACCATTGCTTAGTTTCTTTATATTCCAGCATCACACGATAACTTACTTTTACTTTTACACCACACATCACATTACAAGATGGTTTTAAGTCATTCAATTTTAGAATTTTTTTTGCTTGTTCTTTTCATTGTGAATCAACAATGAAGGGCTATTACAAAAAACAAAAGTAGAAAACTTTTTGTCGTTAAATTGAATATTTCTTCTTTAATTATCACGAAACATTAATCACGAGATGCTAAATTGAATACAAATATTAATAATGAAGGAAGAAAATAGAGATTGGACTTTCCTTCTTCAAAGAAAAAAATATTTTTTTTATAGAAAACCTAAATGTATAATAAAATAATAATTAATGAATCTTTTTTCTATAAGAAGGAAAATGAACAGTGTCAGTAATAAACAGTTAACAATTCTATTACATAAAAAAGAAGATATCAATGATATATACAAACAAATATTGTTCATAATAATGCTTATTGCATCAGTCGCACAAAAAAACATACAGAAATGAAAAGAATAAAATAAATATATATAATTTCAAAATAGTCAACTGATACAAAGGGTTATTGACCATAGGTTTTTCTGCCCTAAAAATATTGTTTAAACATCTTTTAAAATAATAATAAATTCTTTTAAAAAATGAATATTAAATTTATATTGTTTTTTATTTGCAATTAATACATTTTTATATGTAAAAGTAACAGTTTATCAAACGATATGCAACACATAATTTCGTACTATTCATATTATTTCATGTACTTTTTCTAACGGTATTCTTAATAGATCTATAGAATAATTTTATACGTCTAAATATTTTGAGATTTGGCTTATGATATCAATCGAAATATTAAGTAGTACACATTGCAATTAAATAAATTCACTTGTAGGCTTTAAGATTTATTTCCAAAGAAGATGTATTAGTAAATAATTATTTGTAAAGCTGCCCATCCCTGCCTCTGATGAGACCTTGAATCTTCTTCGATGCGCCAGCGCTCTTTGTTCTCTAGCAGCCTCATGAAAATGCTTTTTTCTTTTAGTACATACGAGCGAACTTTTTGTCTTGGTCTCCTCGACTTCTTCATTTACAATATAATTTCATTTGTGTATTCTACATTTCGCGAAAATTATCTTTTGTTTCAACCATCATTAGACTAGCAAATTATATGAAATTTCCAGGGCAATTACTTCGAATCCTGAAACTCGTATTCAACACGTTTTTATACGTTTTGCTAATTAAATGAATACATTTCGAAATGCTCTATTCCTCTCAGGTTTTCGCATATTTAGCGTTCTTTGGAGGGCTGATGCAATTTGCAATTAGTCGATAATTTCTATAGTCTTTTCATTCAGTTACAAGCTTGATAACATTTGCTCTTCTTTATTTGCTGTCTGCAAATCATTTAAGATAAGTCATAAAATTTGTATTTATAATAAATTTAATTGAAAATCTTTCAGGTTTTCATATTTTTTTTTACAATTATATAAGTTACGTCATGTTGGCTCATTTGTTGAATGCCCTTCGAGAATCTTGCCAAGGTGCTAGGAAATTGTTTGGCTAACCGCTTGTAGGTCAGCCGCTACTATTTTGTTCACTCTGTGTGTGTGTATTTGTTTTGGACTCTTGGCATTAACAAGTAAAAAATCATTTACTGTACACTACTTCAGTAGAAATATGGATAGACGTTGTTATGCACACTATAGGAACATTGGAGTGAATGCGGTTCGGGCTTCATCAAAATACTAAGAACTTTGAAAGTTGTTGGTGGAGGGTGCGTGCTCGCAGGTGATTAAGCTCGCAATTTCAGATAACGAAATTGCCTGAACTTAGAGATGAATAATTTAGAATCACCCTCCGTCGAGTTTACCTTAAATTACTTAAGTTGCATCAGATTCTACGGATTTTCTGAAAAATCATGATGAAAGTAAAATAAGTTTTATAAAAATTCTGGTAAAACAGCATTTAAAAAGCACATTATTAATCTATGGTTTGTATTCACCTTTTATATTTTTTTAAATGACAATCTTGTTCGGCGGTACATATTTTTTAAACTCTATATGCACATTGAATTGCTTTCTCAAAAGTAGACTGAAAATGAAATTTTAAACTACTATGTTATTTTTTTTAAACTTCTATTAATTGACATTTTCAATAGCAATAGCATTTATGGAAAGTAAATGCGGTTATCATTGTCAATTTATGCAGGGATTATTTATTTAATGAGATAGAAATATGAATAATGCAAACTAAATACGAAGTTAAGATATGATATAATAATACTGATACGGTAGTTTTGTATTTCAAATATATATCCGTTGTCTGTTTTCAGCGGGTCTAAACTGTTCGTCATTCATAAATTGTTAATACTTATGATGTTTGATTTAAAAATGATCACGATTTATGTTAATGGCAATTTATGGAATGACTTTGATTAAGAACATTGTGGTTACAAGTCGTTTATATGAGAAGAAGAAGAAAAAGCATTCGGATATTTCATACCGAATGTTGACATTCTTACATTGTAAACAAGCACAGAAGGAAACGAATAATAATCAAATAATACCGTAACTGAATATATTTCCGAGTATATGCGTTGGACGTACGCCAATTCCCGTCCATTCATAGTTGGTATATTTGTGCGAGTCGAGAGGAGTACTCTGTTAATCAACCGTATAAAAAAATAGTTGTTTCTAATTTTAAGTCAAATGATAACATATAATACGTAATGCAAATATATTGCATTATTTTGAGCCTGCGATAAGGTCCAATGAAGTTCATAATATTTATTTTAACGAGATAGCGCGTGAATATATATATCGTGTTTGCGCGATATAAATTATAAATGTATTACTAATATTTACATAATAATAATTTAATACAACCTAAATTGGAGAAGGCTTATTTTTCTTTTACGTGCTGCCTTTAGCTATAAACGTCGGTTAAATTATTAAACATGCACGTGGTATCGTTCCTTTGTATTGTAATATATAATGCGGATTGTGAAATCTGCAGGTAGTTGAAGATGGGAACAGCTGATGGTCCTTTTTTAAGGTGAACAACTGGTATTATTTCCAAAGGAGAGAATTAAGGAATTCAGCTATCGATTAGTTCCCAGCCAACTACCAGCACTCGACGTTGTCGGTGGTGGTGATGTGGGAAAAGAAGGGTTTTTGAAAGGCGATGAAAACAAAAAGCGGTGGAGGAAAGACGAATCGGGCCTCAGACAACCTTGACTGTAGGAGGCGTCTCTGCAACTGGTTGCAGTTGTTATTATACAATATCCCCTTTTTTCCCGGTGTTGCGGGGTGTGGCAGGGCAGCGTCCATCGATAAGAAGACCATTTATTTTATCCCCTGCACCGGTGTGCGGAGCAGCGAACGGGCGAAAACTAGTTTTTCCTCCTCGGAGATTCATAAATTATGGAGCAGCGCCCGCGAGAAGAAAGGGAAAATGTCCTTATCTGGCATCGGGTCGTGTCGCGGGGGGCGCTGAAGAAGTGTTAAGAAGAGGGTCAAGTCTCGAGATCATTTGCTGCGGTCACTATACGGACAGACACAGCCTCAGGCGGGGCTATCGACCTCCGCTGATCTACACAAACACAATCTTTACAAAACACTGCCTCTCCTATGTAAGTGTGCAGTGCGGTGCACACACCAGCATGTGTAGCAACAACAACTAACCAAGATAACTACATCTCTCGCAGATCGGTGGAACAAACCAGACAGACACTTTCACGTTCTGAAATAGAAAGCGACCGTGAAAGCACACTCGAGTATTTTCTTGCACGAAAAAGAAACCGATTTGTAAAATTGTGTGGTCTTAATGAACCAATTAAAATGATTGAGATTAAATAGTGTTCTATATTAATATACTAAATATTTAGTAATACTAATAACATTTATTACAACAAATCGCCATACTAAAAACATAAGAACAAAATAACATAAGAATATAAAAACAAATTGATTTGCTGCAAAGGGCTACCTACCAGAGGTCTTACTGCTCTAATTAAGTATTAGTTTCATTTCAGAAAATGTTATTAAATTCAAGCTTTATTTTTATCGATTATTGAAACTTTTTTTAGACGTTTCAACTGGTAATGACCAAAAATCGCTTAATTATTTACGAATTTATACAAATTATGATTGTATAATTTTTCATGGTTGATCGCCAATTAGGACAGAAACTTTCGAAAACATGAGTTATCATAAAATTGAGTAATTACGAATAACGTTAACGATTTTTAATATCTTCTAACGTCCGTCTACATCTATTTCACAAACCGTGTATAACTATTTTTAAAACATATATAAGTAAATTGCCCACAGACGTCGGCTTATATTATTTTGTTGGACGTCTATTGACCCCAGCGAAATCCCATTAAAATAAACTCGTTTCGCAAAGTTCATTACTGTATGCGTTTTTAATTTTAATCCGCGCAAATATTCTTTTTGTACTCCCATTGGTTCATTATTTTCCCTTCGAAGACACCTGTCGATACGTCACCGCTATCGAGGTGCAGAAATTGATTATATGCAAGTTTTCTAAACTAAATAACCTGCATACATACACCAAATGTTGTGTAATACGCGACTTTTGCGAAAATGATTACCAAGCTGGAACGGATTTGCATGCGACCGCATGTTTTCCTTTTTTTCCTCTTTATTTTCCTTCCGTCTTGAACATACTTTATAAACAAACAAAGAGTAGACAATGCAGTAAGTGTTTATTATTCAACTTAAAAATTAAGCAAATTATAATTGTTATTAATTGAGGCAGAACAGGTGATCACATTCAATATACTTCGATATAATTGTTTAACTTAAAATACATTATATTTTAAAAAATATTCTCATTTATTATATACTGTGTATTTAACTGTACAATTGTTTTATTCAATTATCTCTGCAAATATTTTTTCATTTTATATATGGATTCTCATTTTACAAAACACCTTTTAAAATTGACCCGACAGAGTCAAGGTTTTTCATATTTTTGTTTAATACTCATTTTCATCTTGCAGTGTAATGCATTCGTTGCACTTAACATAATTAAAAATTGCACATGACACGTGACCGTCAAATGTTCTTGTCGAAGCCAAACCTGAAATTGTTCTTTTTACGTCGACACTCCATGATCGGTCATGTCACATTCATTGAGCCTTTCTTGATTACAATTTCCCAATTCTGACACACCTACGTGTTGCGATTATCTTCCACCCACTAACTTTCATTGTCTTCGTATCGAGCAAGTGAAATAGTAGAAATAAATCTACACGAAATAGCGAAATCGTTGATCAGTCTATCAGATCTTACTTCATGCACATGCAAAAACCGTAAATCTTTGTAGAGAAAACGAAAGCGGATTACAGAAATAATGTGTGTTCTTGATTCAGCGCAGGAAACGTTTTCTTATAAGAAGATTAGGCATATGACTTAGTTGTTTGATATAGTGCTCCTAGTTAATTGATATGTTGAATATTAAAATATCGTTTACGAATTAAAGCTAAACTAAACATATAATTATTATGATTTATATTGACAATAATTGGATTTGCTTTCAATTTATCGCAATTCTAGAGGGAATGGACAAAAGTATATTTTTTTAGTTAATTCGATAGTAAACCGTGATTTATGACGCTGCATATTCAGGAAACGCGATGCGGATGAGAAGCGGCATAAGGAAAGGAAATTGAAAACGGAATGTATATTTCCTGTGAAAAATGAATACGATGAAAGCGAAGAGTGAAGTGTAACTAAAATGAGCAAATCATACTAAATATCCAGAATTTCTTATTTTTTTGAAACATAATAACTCGTGATTCTCGTAACGTAAAATATCATTGGATTCCCCAAATAACACGTTGAAAACAGGACATTCGATTTGCATTTTTCCAAGATGCACAGCGGCTATGCAATGTGCATTTTTTAGTTTTTTTTTCGTTCTGACTTCTATTAATAATAATGTTTAATCGATATTGTGTTTTATTGTGTACTTTGTCTTGACGAGACTTGCAGCTCGTACTTCGACTATTTCAGAATTAACGCTAAGAATAAATAGTATTTAATTATCATCTAATTCGTATCTATAGAACTAAAGACAGTTTAAAAACTTACTTAGGAACGGATTTTTAAGCTATTATATGTACTCGACCAATATAATACAGATTAGTGATCTTAAATTTACGAATTGACGTTAATATTACAATTATTTTATTTTAATTTGTAAATTAAATTATATTATCTTTTTTACTGTTGTCATTCAAATTATATTTGGTAACAAAATTAAACTCTAAAATAACTATAATAATAAATTTTAACAAAAAGCAGATTTCTTATTTACGGTAAGTATGAACTCGAAATTATACTTCTAAAAGCAAAGTGAAAGATGCGTCTATTTAGGTTAAATTGACAGTACTACCACTTTACACGAACTACCTGCAGCAATTATTACATTTTTTGCTTTTCCTCACAATGAAGTGGACTTTGTGTTTGTTTTAATTTATAGAAAATTAAAGCATTGACTGATTATTTTCTGCAATTTTAATATATTTTGCTTATGATTTAATTGTTTTTCACATTTGGGAACATTGAGAAAAGTATAAGTATGATAATCTGTATGATGGTTGAAAGAATCGCCTGGATGTAAGAAACGTACTATATATAATTATTTCATGTTGCAACTGCAAACACTGTCCGTATCCGCTATACTTAGTATATTTGCTTCTATACCGTGCATGAGAGCGATCCTTCCTTATCCGGAAACGGTATTAATCTGTAATTAATGACGACTTTGTTTCCACCTCTTTTCCAGATAAAGGTAGTAACGTGACATCCTTAACGGAATTGTCAGCAAAATGCGTTGCTTCGCATATTCCCTTCGAGCTAGTGGAGCATGTCTTCCCACCCGTGCCGGAACAACTACAACTCCGCATTGCCTTCTGGAGTTTTCCGGACAACGAGGAGGACATCCGGCTCTACTCATGTCTGGCAAACGGCTCGGCCGACGAATTCTCTAAAGGAGAAACGCACCACAAGAACAACTGCGTTAAAGATCCTCTTCAAATCGGTAGGTTTCGGAGTAATAAAAAAATAATAACAATTTGTTGAAAAAACACTATCAGTTGATATTAAGCAAAATATAAAATTTATTAATACCTTGCCATGTGATATTTAATTAATTGTTACATAATATATAACTTGAATAGAAGAAATTGAGTTTACAGACAAATAGTGGTCATGTGGAATTTCTGTATTTAGTAGAATTTTGTTAAAAAATCGTAAACTAATTAATTCCTTTGTAGGTTTCCATCTATCTGCCACAGTGCATTCACCGCGTATGGTGCCAAACAATGTAGCCGTCACATTCGATAGGAGGCGGATTTCTTCGTGCAACTGTACTTGCAACTCGTCCGCTTATTGGTGCTCACATGTGGTTGCCGTATGTTTAACGAGAATACACTGGGTAATAATAGCTATTGAATGGAATTTGAAGAGTTTTAAAGATTCGTCTTTTAGCCTCATTTGGTGACGTTAAGAGCTCCAGTGTCAGAATCACTTTCGCGCCTTCATAGAGATCAACTTCAAAAATTTGCTCAGTACTTGATCAGTGAGTTGCCGCAGCAGATTTTACCGACAGCCCAGCGTTTGTTGGATGAACTGCTCGGTAGTCAGCCGTCTGTTATAAACAGCGTATGTGGAGCACCTGATCCGACTGCTGGAGCCTCGGCCGCTGACCAGACCTCATGGTACCTGGATAATAAAGCCCTGCATGGAAATATCAAGAAAATTCTGATTAAATTTTGCGTGCCGGCGCCTATTGTGTTCAGGTAGATTCTAACGAGAAACAAACTATCTTAGCATCTGACTAATAACTTTTCTTTATACACTAGCGATGTCAACTATCTCAGTACAACGGCTCCACCCGCAGCTGCTGAATGGACATCTCTACTAAGACCATTACGCGGAAGAGAACCTGAAGGTATGTGGAACCTCCTGAGTATCGTCCGTGAAATGTTCAAACGGAACGATCGCAACGCTATTCCGCTACTGGAAATCATCACAGACGAGTGCATGGCATGCGAGCAGGTTTGTATAAATCTGTTTTTATGATTTATCTATTCATTGATTAAATTTAAGATTTTGGTATGGTGGTTCAATACCAAAGTTGCTTTACTTAATGGTAGCTCTGGATACGGTGGTGGAGGTGGCGGCGGCGGTGGTAAACACAACAACGTGAATAGTAACACTCATGCCTCCCAACATGCGTGCTCCTCGCTTTGCGACGAAGTGGTCATACTCTGGCGGTTGGCTGCTCTTAATCCCGGTTTAGCACCGCAAGAACGCGACATGCTCCACCATCAGTTCAATACGTGGCACTTGAAGGTGATGGAGAAGGTCTCCAAATGTCGTAGCGGCAATAATAACAATTCCAATAAGAATGGTAAACAATATATTCTGTTTTGATCACTGATATCTAATATTTTTTTCTTACCTAGGTGGCTTGAAAATGGATCTTGAAGTATTCACCGGTTTTAAGCCGGCTATCGAGGCTTGTTACATGGATTGGGAGGATTATCCAATGCCAGGTATCACGTACACACAAGACACAAATCCCATGTACCATTGCCCGTTCACTTGTTTCCGTCACTCCGCCGACAGCAAAACCGGCGATAATAAAGTGCCCCAAGTGAATTCTAGCAAGGCTGTTTTGAACTGCGAACATCATCTTCATCACCGACACAGTCATCACGCTGGTCTGAGGAGTCGTTATGACTTTATTGACATATTTGAACCGGTGGATTACACGAACCATGCACAAATGGCACGAGATGGGAATAGATCGAGTGTGTCCAGTGAAGGATTCTGCGAAAATGATGATGATCTGAATATAATCCGGGATGCTGCACGTGTTATGCTCTTAAGAACAATGGAATTTGATTCACAAGAGGGTGGCAGCGAGTCCAGCAGTAGTAGCGGAAGTAGCAACCGCGAGACTTCGGCCCAGCAATCAAGCTCTGATAGCACGGAAGGGAAGAAACCTGTACCCTCGACTTCGAAGGATGAGGAACGACGGCCGTCCAAGGATGAATCTAGTTTATCAGATTCGTCGCCGCAGTCACAATCTGGTGACGAGTATAATGTGTATTTCTACAACCCAAAAGAGTTGGCAATTGGGGAAAGGCTTAAGATTAAGACAACGGCCACTACAAGCACGGCAGAAGACTCCGATAAAAATTCAGTCTTTTCTAACTTGAAGCGTTCTGAGGATCCATGGGATGTTTTGTTTGCAAGAGCAGAAGGCTTACATGCGCATGGACACAATAAAGAAGCCAGTATGTTGGCAGTAAAATTAGCCGAAGAATTGTTGGCCAATCCACCTGATCTAATGATCGACATTCCTCCAATACCGAAGCGTAAAGGCAAGAAGCAGCATTTGAATCCGGCCACCCATCAGTTAAGCTGCTTAGCTTCAGCGACTTTAGCAAAATGCGCTTTCCTATGTTCGGTGCTAGCAGAAAATTCCGAACATTCTCATTTATCATTTAGGGTAGGCATGTTTGGATTGGAAATGGCGAGGCCCCCGGCCAGCACCAAACCTTTGGAAGTAAAACTGGCGAACCAAGAGTCCGACTTGGTGAGTTTGCTCAAGAAGATACCTCTGGGACACAGGGAGTTACAGATATTACGGGAAAGGGCCGAACAGCTAAAGGACGGAACATTGAAATCACGCGGCGAGGCGATGCTTCCTTTAATGCTATCCAGTTTCATTTTTGAAGCGCTTGTTATGCCGTCTATTGTTGGACGAGAGAGGAGTCGTGTTTTGAATCTGCGACTACCCACAGATGAACCCTTAGGATTCGAAGCGGCAGTGGCTGCAATGGGTTTGAAGGCCAACGTTAGTGAAGCGGATCATCCTCTGCTATGTGAAGGTACTCGCAGACAAAAAAGTGATCTGGCAATTACATTGTTGGTATTCTACAAGGATGACTGTTGGAAGGTGGCTAGGATTATGGATAGGTTGTTAGATAAAGACATACACCAGTTGCTCAAGGGACCTATTCTCAATTCGTACTACTCGAGTAATCCACCAATAAAAAGTCAATATTCCAATCTTAAACGCGAGGAACACGATAAGGTGCTGTCACCTTTGAATTCATTTTTACCACCAAATGATATACTCTCCGGAGATATGAGTAAGTGTATTTAAATATGATTGATATAATAAATTAATAAAACAAATAATAGATAGCAGACCACAGAGCTCTACAAGCGCTGAAATAGAGCAAGGGCTGGCAAACATTACTTTGGGGCCGTCTACGAGCAGTGCTGTTCCCACACAATCCACGATGTCAGCAACTGGGGTTACTGCTACCACAATTACAACGACATCGTCAATGAGAACAAAGGAGGGACGATACAAGGGAAAACGGGCTTATCCTTCTATTCCAAATCAACCTAGCGAGGCTGGAGCGCATTTCATGTTTGAATTGGCTAAAACTGTGCTGATTAAAGCAGGTGGAACTAGTAGCACATCGCTCTTTACACAACCTAGCACCAGCCAGAATCACCACGGACCTCACCGGGCTTTACACATGTGTGCGTTCCAATTGGGATTATATGCTCTAGGTTTGCACAACTGTGTTAGCCCTAACTGGCTCAGTCGTACCTACTCCTCGCACGTCTCTTGGATTACAGGTAAATATACAACGGCTTGGTGGAAACTTGTTTAATATTGCATTAAATTATTGTTTTATTTTGTACTGAATTTTGTTTTCCATATAATAATACAAAGTACATGTAGACGTAATATTTTCCTTATGATTGGTATATTTTTATTCCTAAATTTGTTACCCATAAAAGTAAATTTGTATATGCTTTTTTAATAAATAATAATACTTACAAATTTATTATTTTTGAATTTAGGTCAAGCAATGGAGATCGGAGCTGCAGCGATAGCTTTCCTGATCGAGACTTGGGAGAATCATCTGACGCCTCCTGAAGTAGCGAACATCGCCGATAGAGCATCAAGAGGTTGTGATGTGAATATGGTCAGAGCGGCAGCGGAATTAGCTCTGTCCTGTTTACCACATGCTCATGCCCTCAACCCTAACGAGATTTCTAGGGCCATCCTCCAGTGCAAGGAACAAAGCGATCTCATGCTTGAGCACGCTTGCCTCACGGTGGAGAACGCTGCCAAAGGTAACGGGATTCTGTGTTCAAGGTGGATGTTATTTTACTACTTTAAGCAAAATTAAAAATTTTCCTCTAGAAGAGATTTGCATAAATTTATCGGCACTTCTACTTTCATATTTAATGTTTTTGTTTAGCTACATTATTAATTTTTTTGCCACAGTTGTAAACTGTGGCAAAATCATATGGGTAATGAACAAGATTGACAACGTTTTCTGGCTTACAAGCAACACCCGAGTTTTAATTTTAATACTTCCTTAAAAGTTTAGGAAACTTCAGAGAGGAAATCAAATAATTTCCTAATGCAAATCAAATAAAATAACAACGTGCCATGGCAAGGCTGTATTACTTGTATAAAGAAAATGTTTTCTTTGAAAAACTTATGTAAGAAAATGTTTTTTTTCACAAAATAGATTAGGATACTTAAATTTAGTATTCAACTATTAAAATTATATATAGTATACATTAGAGTTTCTTAATTGGCCACCGACCGCATTTAACGTATATATAATTTTGTCAACATAAAAAAATGAAAATAGTTTGAAATAATGTATGCACAGAGATTTAATTTCAATGGAATATTCTTTCTGATTCAGGTGGTGGTGTATATCCAGAAGTTTTGTTCCAAGTCGCAAAATACTGGTACGAGCTGTACTTGCGACACACGCCCGGTGGAGAACAGTTGATGGAGAATGATTTACCACATGATCCCATCTTAGATGGCCACGGGGCTCTGGTGGCTCTCATCGAAACACCTGAGATAAGCCAGCCCCCTCCGGTGGTAGTAACCACAGCGTCTCCTCAGTACGTCCCTTATGCCTATTCGTTCACCGTTCATCCACACGTCAGCTACGGGGGCCCTATACACCCTCACGCAACCGTGTCTTTACAGCCGCCGCCCCACATGCAGATGTACCTACCGGCGCCTCAGTTTCCATATCCGCCCCACTCGAACGCTGGGCCGCCAAACGCCGGACCCCCTGCCCAGTACCAGTTACCGCCGCCACAGGCGCAAGCTCCACAACCCTCATACCAACCACCACCTACATATGTAGCCTCACAAAATGGTCCTTATACGCAGGGTCCATCTCCATACGCTCCTTTAACGCCGCCGTATCTACCACCCCCTCAAAACAATGCCTATCCTCCACAACCGTCCACTTATAACGGCCCAACGACCGCTCAGATGCAGTACTACGGGGCCGCAGTGACAATCGCTCAACCACCAAGACCCGGTCACATGTACCCTGTGGCGTTGGCTCAGACCGCTGGTATGCCGGTCGCCACTCGACCTCATCGCCAGCAACTGAATCAGATCCAGTTGAGGTACCTTCTAGCTGCATACCGCGTTGGTATGCTGGCCATGGAAACACTTGCCCGACGAGTTCACGACGACAGACCGCAAGCAAAGTATGCCAGAAATCCACCTTATGGAGAAGATGTTAAATGGCTCTTGAGAATCTCTAAACATTTAGGTAATAATTACTTCTACTTAAGATTGTATCACATATTCTTTTGTAGTATTATTCTATCGGCAAGTATTGAAAATGCATTAACAAAAAATATAGAATTAAACCAACTATACCATTTATCTATAAATACTGCATTTTATGTGATACCTTTTCTTGTTTGTTTTTCTCCATCTTCTTGTTGTCTATATATTATTAATGTATTTATTTTACTTACGTAGAAATGCATTTAGGAACCCAATATTTGCACCAGTTCTGTGTATCTGCTGTAAATTCAATCGTGAGCCCCTTCGTGCTGCACGATGTCGCCATGGAGGCCGCCCAATATTTGGGTAGAAGTAATCCTGGACTGATGATGCGTACGGCATTAACACCGCTCATACAGAAGTGTCAACAGATGTACATCCAATGTATGCACCAAAAACTATATCATCTCACGGTTGGCGATTACGAGGATTTTGTGAACATCGTTCTCGCAGCGAGGGCAGCGTTTCAGATCACTCCCGATGGCAGCGCTCAGTTTAAGGAGTGGCTTCAATCCATCAAACGGTAAGATCACTCTTCTATCATCATCAGTAACATCGATAATAGTCGATAAGATCATATAAACTAATGTGGTACAGAGCAAGTGAATATTATTATTAAATAGTGACGATTATCGCATTCAATTAAATATAGGCAGTTGAAAAATGGATGATTTATTTATGTATTTCTATTTCTTAGATCAAAGTCGTGTAAGAAGGATTTATGGGGACAGATCAATACAGCGCTGCAGTCCAATGCTAAATGACAAAGGTCTGACGCCAGAGTCCAGCTGGAAGTGGTGACGGAGGGTCAGGGGACGCAGCAGACGTCACAGGCGCAACCTCCGCCACCGCAGTCCATTGTGGCCGCAATGGTATTTCAGTCTATCGTCAACGAACAACACTGGCTTTCGGGGAGCGACGCGGCCGGGGGCGGCAACCAAAGTTGATCTTCGCACATCTACCATCTTCAACAACAACATGAACATCAAGTGATTGATCTAGTGCTCAGGTTTCTCTGCCTTTACGCGTATCCAACAAATTAAAAATTAAATTCATAGTATTAGCGAAATTTTTATTATTACATATTAATATCCTTAGGTAAAACAAAATGAACGACAAAAAAAATAATAAAACACAAAATAGGGAATCAATCATATGCGATGCTAATACTTAAAATTTTAAAAGAAACTAAATATTAAAATTAAAACTCGAGATATGAGGTTTAAACAATCTTAGTTAAAAGTATTCGTAGACTTCTCTTCTCGTAATTTAATTTCTAGATAATTTCTTTTATTATTTTTCTCTAGGTATATGTATGTATATAATTATATATGTATATACATATATATATAAGTAGTAGGGTATGGTATGTAACCGCCCAGCTGTTTTGGGCACCGTGCACGTGCTTTTCTTGTTCTGCTATTGGCCGGCGTAAACTTAATCATACAAATATGCGCCGTTCACTGAGAACAATTGCAGGCAACTGTTTGTCGTGCGAATTATTAACAAAAAAAAATATAAATGATCATCTAGTATAATAATCAATTCAGATGCATATTACTAGTAAGTGCCAAGCAATTTCACAATTATTATTTCGTTCTTTGTCAAAAAATATGTTTACTTTTAAACACGGAGAGAGCGTGGGGAAACTACGATTTTGAGCAAAAAAAAAGTAACTCGAGAAATTATGTAATATCTCAAGTTATTATATATTTATTATATAAAATGATGACTGTTCTGTTTTTTTTCTGTTTTATTATTTCGTAATGTTTAAGTTAGTTTTCGTTAATTTAATTGTTTTGATCTCATGAAATATATTTTCAGTGTTCTTAAAGAAAAAACAACCACATATTGGGAGAGGTGTCAGCAGTTAATCTAAGAGTGAATGCATGTAGTCCTCAAAAAAAAAGCTGAGGAGTTTTTAAATGCGTACATGTGTTCTTGGGCATCCACTCTTCACTTTCCTCTTCTCCAAAAGACTTTTTTCAATATAGGGAGATGATGAAATTAAACATTTTTCGATTAAAATAAACTATTCAGGTCTATGTATATTGTATGTGTAAAAAATTCCGTGCCTTTAAAATGAAAAAGTATTTAGGAGTTAAATTTAAAAAAACAAATAGAGTAAAATATTTAAAGAGTGGATGCTTGTAAAAAAATATATGTATTTACAATCTATATACATTTTTTATAACGTTTTTTTTCTCGCTCATTTACATCTACACCACTGAAATTCATTGATTTATTTGTCTTCTACAGTAGCATTAGATTTTTTTTTGCACTATTAGCATATTAGGTACTTTTTTAAGTAATTATTATATGTTTATGAAATATGGTTTACATTTATTTTTCAACTTTTTTCTCTTCAGATTAAAAAAAGACCCACCAGACCAGTTTGAAGACTTTACAAAAGCAATAGGATTTTTCTAAAAGAAAGAAGAAAATAGAAGTTTAGAATATTTTGGTCAAAGCAAATGTATATCATATTTCCTTCTATATACAAGAGAGAAACAAGGGCTGACTTTAAATAAATAGTGGACTCAGTATATATAAATATACTGATGTGTTCGTGGGGGAAAATAATCATGTATTGCTGTATAAAGTTGATTTATTTTTATTTCGCTTCTATAGAAGTTCTTTTTAAGTATATCAGCTTGCTTTATATTGATGTATTTAAGCTCTGCTCAGGTAAGTTCCAACAACTGTGCATGATTCTTCATGCTTTTTATCCTTAAATCCATCCATCATTCATTATTTTTACAATATTTGTATAATTTATTAGGTTGTGTGTATTAATAATTATATATAATGCAAACTAGAAGAATATAGTAAGGATTTCGTATAAAATTCGACCCGGAATCCTGACTCAAATGGTCGAAAAATCCAACATATCCATATCAAAGAAAGAAAGAAAACCTGAATAACTAAAACTATAAACGTGATTTTCAATTATAGAGGAAGCGTTTTAAGGATACAAAGCAATAAACTGTAAAGAGAACATTGAAGAATATAACAGTGCCTGATGATACATTAAACTGAATTAACATGAAATAATTAGAGTGGTGCACTTCGATTAATAATGCGGAATCTTAGATAATAATCTGAAACCAATCAGTTTCTTGTGTTTTTGGAGGATGTATTTGCTAATTGGATATACTCGACGGTATGTTTTGTGGAGCTCCTCGTATATATATTATATGTATATAGTGATTCAGGAAAATTCGCTTTTGATTAAACACAAATGATTTATAAAATGTAAGCGAGAAACATAAATGTAATTTAATGTAGACAATGCTTAATACTTTTTCAGTTTTATATAAATTTTCTAGATGTAGAGCTTTTATTTCTATTTTGAGAATATATATATATATATATAGTTCAACTGGTAATTATTTAAATTGATTCATTTTGAGACCAGTTTGTATTTAACAAAAAAAAGTAGTTACCTCATGTTTTAGTGAATTCATTTAATTGTATTACAAAAATTTGAATGTATAAAATTAAGGTTGAATCGGATAGATATTATCAAAAATGAGAAGTGAATTAAAAGAGTATATATATATTATATATAAACTTGTATTTAACTAATATTTTTACACAATTACACTTTGAATGGATGTGTATTCTTTGTATGCAAGGTGATATAATTATGATGAATATTATTTCAAGCAATTTTTTTTTAATGTTTTTAAAAAAAGAATTCCAGATTGGAGCAGGAGGAAACTACAAAGCGATTGTAAATTATTAAAAACGACTGTTTTATATGTTTGATTGTTTCACGACTTTTTAAAAGTATATAGAATATAATAATACATTAGATCTTTCGAGTATTTTTGTGTTTTATTTGTAAAAATCTAGTCGAGTTGGACATGTTTGGTGCGTATATTTTGCATTAATTTATGTAGGCAACTACAAAATATTCTCTTCTGTAAGACAATTTGGTTTTTGTCAGCCTGAACAGAGTTGTCGAGAACGTCTTGCCTATCAGTCTGTAGATTATCTGTAGAGAAGTTAGTTTGCGTTTGAAAGTCATGTAATTTCTTATAATGCAGTTCCATCTATCGCGATACAACCCGCAGTTTCTATATAATACATAATTAACTTAAGTAGTCTTGTTCGGTTCCTCCAATATCACGGAATATTGAAAAGCAGGCAAATCGTGGACTTTAAAACCGCATTTAAGATACGCAATAAAAGGACATAATTTTGTGCACTTATTTATTACAATTTATTTTTATCAATTAGTTTGATTAACTATTGCTGTACTTTAAAAATATTTGCTTGGTTAATTTCTGTTATAGTATTTGTACACAATATTTTAGGTAATATTTGTATATGCTGTGATCAGAAAATAGAAAAATGATTATAAAAATAATATTAATTATGTTTAAATGTCGAGGGATTATTTCAGGAAGAAACTTTATTTGAAGAATAATTTATGGATCATCTAACTTATTGAAAAATATCCTTCAATGTGCGGAATGCAAAGCTTGGGTTAACCAACAGTTCTAACAAATTTGATAAGAGACATTTCACTAAAGATTTGAACATAAATATAAGTTAATCTAATTACAACTAATTTTTAGTTTAGGCGTTTACAAATTAATAGCGTTTCAATATAAATATTGGGTGCGTTTTGTCCCATACATCGAGCTTCTTCTTGAGATCAACCTTATGCAAATGGTCCAAACGGTTTTCTGGCTAATCTTCAGTTCCTGCGCAACGGAATAAATGCACGCATGCCAGTCCGACTCGACGATTTCCATGATTTTATCAACATTTTCGATGATTGGCCTACCAGAGCATGTCTCATCTTCGACGTCCATATTACTAGAACGGAAGCGTTGGAAGCAAAGCTTTGCTGTTGCATTCGATACTGTATTGGGTCCATAAACAACACATTTTTTTTTGGACGCCTGCTCCGCTTTTCCCCTTGATCTCCTAGTGGTACTGAAGAATGTATCGATTTTTTTTCTTTTTTTACCTCCATTTTGGAACGCTTTAATAAATAACTGGATTCAATAAACACAAAACTGTCAAAGAACTTTTTTTAAAAGCGTTTTGTGGCCTTTAAGTTGCAGTATAGAATAATATGATGCAACGTATACATTGTGAGATATGGCTCACTAAATCCATCTAAAGAAAAACGCTCAGAACTTTTTACTTCAACCAATATAATTATATAGGATCGAGGGACTACAATGTTATGTAAATCGAATATATAATATTTTTCCAATACTTATAAATATTATTATTAACGTCTTAATTATTAATGGTAAAACATCTTGTGAATAGATTCTACTAGATAATTATATTTAGTTTTTTTTAAATATAGAATTCTTTATATAACATTGTGCTAAATGTATTTGAATGAGCGTCCTTAACTAAAATAAAAAAAAAGTGATTTTAATAACAATACCCACAAAAAAATTCTCGAATACTATTAAACATTACTGAAGCATAATCTTGGATGGCCTTTAATGCTTTAAAGATTGCATAATAAAGTTATATAAGAACTACTTATTAATAACATTTTGTATTTGTATATATATTACAATTAAAGAACTCTTCTATGTGGTTATTAGCAAGGATTCTAAATTATATTTTTTTTGACACAATTCAAAATCCCTCACGGACGCATCAATAAAGAGCGGTGGCAATTGCAAGCCCGACAACAAAAATACCGTCTATCGAAATCCCGACGTTCGAAATCCCGAGTGTATCGGGATGTAATAGTAAGAGGAAAGACATGGCCCTAACAAATATACTTATTAGTTATACAATAGATGACAATAAATTGGTCGGACACGACAGTACAACGTTTATATGATGAGCATAGTCTCAGTAAAGCCATCAGATTGATAGTCTTAGTTAATCTGTCGATTAAACTACATTGTCTTGGAAAGGGCCCCAAGAGTACCGATTATAATAAACTTGCTTTTAAACCAATTGAATTATTTAATTCCCAACTACTGAGACTCCACAACGACAACACCAGACAATATTTCACTGTGTCCAGAATTCCATCCCTGGGACACGACAATATGTCGGAGTATTTAAGACAACAGCACCTGATCAAACATCGTAATTGACTCGTGCAGAAATACAAAGAACTATTGTTTACACGCTCCAACGCTCCAGTTCTGCCAAATAACATTGTCAGCACTTGGGAGAACAAGGACGGAACAAGAACTCTAGCTCTGAGATTGCAGAAGGATTAATTTACTAAGTTTATTAACTATTGTTAGTGGTTATTTGTAATAATGGTTTCTCCAAACGCCTCGCTCGGGAGCATTCCTGATTCGACATATATATATTTTAAATTTGAATTTTTTTTTTCTTATGTTTCGAAAATGAACTTTCAACTGTTACTGTGATGAGGGGTAGCGAAAGCAACAATTATAATGCTAATAACTTTATCACTCTGAGATTATAAATCCTGAAATTACAGAGAAAATACATCGAATTACGTTTTGAATCTCTATCACAAAATTGCAATGTTGGGATAATGCCAATTCTGTCATATACAATATTAAGTGATTAAAATTTAGTTTGTGGTCAAACATGACACCCAAATATTCAATTTTACTTTTACAAAGAAAAGACGATAAGCTACCAAATGGTTATATTTATTAAAATGTAATGGATATTTTTTGCAAAACAATACTGTATATAAAATACATAAATTTTGATATTTTTGACAGTAAACAAAAAATCTATTTTTTTTAA